GAATAAATTGGAGGAAGAGCTACAGAAAAGTGAAAACCTTTGCGAAATTTACAAGACGGCCACTCAAGATGCCGATTTTGAGATGGAGCAACTCATTGAGAATTTCGAAAATCGGGGCCGACTGTTGGAGCTAGCACAGAGGGGTTTGTTCTTCGTGCCTTTCACGTTTGAAATTGGCCAGCTCTGTTTTCTTTCTCTTCCAAACGCGTCTTCTTTATGCGTTTTTCTGTACAACGTTGTTGCTTAGGTGCTGACGTTTTCCCTGTTTTTGTCCCTCCGCCAAGCGTGGTCACAAAAATGCGATAGCGACTTTCACATGCGTCTGCGACTCATATACAGCATTTGGAAAGTTTTGACGGAAAATTGCTAATTTGGGAATCAGAAGAGCTAGGAGCGGAAATTTTAGGAGGATGTTCGCTGCCGAAGGGATTATCGCAGTAACAGTCTAGTTATGTTCCACTACTGGTTTTGTATTTACAGGGCCAGTTTTTTTTTTTTTTCAGAATACGAAGTGATTCGCTCAGTACTGGAGGAGAACCAGGTGGCTTTTGTAGCAGAGATTGCCAAGAAAGGTTCGGTTGTTTGGGTGCAGTTTCCCATGGAATATGCACTTTTTCGTTCGTAAATTCGGTTTCCTTCGTACAGTAAACTCTGATCATTCGAGACACACACACACATCTTTTTTATTTTGAAGAAGCGATGTGTTTGAGCTTTCAGTGCAGTAGTTACTGTACACGAATTAGGGTTTCACGCAGTGCCTTAAAATTTTGCCTTTTTTGGGGCTGTGTATTACTGTGCAAGGAGATCGAACTTCTCAGAATTTAGCTGGCCAGTTTTATCTTGATTGTTGAGATCGCTTCATATAACGTTTATTTTAGCCAGTTTTCGGGGGCGCTAGTTACATTGGTAGTATTAGGAAAAGGAGAGCCATCGCCATGTGTCGCTATGCTCAAACCAACTCGTAATGTACTGTACATTGCGATTTGTTTTGTACTCAGACCCCTAAGGATATTTTTTTCGCTTCCTTTCGGCCACCTTGGTCATTCATGCTCCAGACAAGTCGATTTTTGTTTTTATTCTCTTTCTTTTTTCAGATAGACAAATAAGTGAGTTGTCAAATGAAGTGGAAAAAGCGAATGAGTTACTTAAAGCGAGACAACGCTGTAGGTTTATTTTTAGTTTTTAATTATCAAAGTCATAAAACTGACCCAAAAAAAGGTTTTTTTTTTAAACTGATGTTATCAGGTGATGAAACAGAGGTGCTGTCTTCGACAGCAGCTGCAACAGCGGCATTCACACAACGTGGTATTTCACTGACCGCTATTTATCGGGAGCATCGCCGTGTTTTGGCCGAACTCGAGAGGACAAAAGAGATAAATAAGCGTCTCGAAGCGAATTTCAAGGAGGTAGTTCAAATATTTTTGAGCTTCCGATTTTATAGCTTGGAAAAATGCACCACAGTGACAATGACATCGTAGCGCGTCTTCGCTCCTTCTGATGCATGGTTTCTGTGGCCGGAACTGCTGCATTGTGCGGTGATCAAGGTGGTTTTGCAGTTGCTATTACCACTACCGAGGCCATCACTCATCTCCCTACATTTTTCGCTTAGAAGAATATCAGTTGGTTAAAATTGTCCAGTTTTGCACAGTTATCATTTTTTGACAGCGATGATCACTTTTACAGGGCACTGCGCCAGACGCAACAAAGCAAGGCGAGGAAAGCGGAAATTTGTGTGGCTCATGCAGCATACTGCAAGAGCAACTGTTGTCTGCTAATCTAGAAAAGCAGAAGCTCTGGGAAGCTCGTGATGCAGCTGTGTGCGAGTTATCGTCAATGAAAGCTGAACTTGAACGATATGAACGCGATAATGAGGAACTTAGTAAACAAGTAACCCATTATTCTTTGTATATCATATAAAATTATTATCTGTGGTGTACGCGGGAACTCCGCATTACTATTTGACTTGTCGTCAGAAAACACCACGCAGTGAAGACGGTAGTGAAGGGGTAGTGCTCATTTTATG